AAGAAAGAGACGGCAACTGTCTCGGCGGACCCGGATGAAGCTGTAGGACAAGCAAAGGGCCCAAGGCATACGGAGGTACACCCGTTCAGGCTGCCCTTGGTCTGCTTTGGACGTGGCACAAGGCGACTAAGGATCGACGACATGGACGGTTTGACCATCAATTCAGTTTCCCAACAGAGTGTCAGACTGTCTTACCTGTCATATTACCCGTTCGCTCTTTCGGTATTATAATGCTGATGACGACTTGCACAACTGAAACTCCTTTCTATCTTGAGATTCAAGGGAACACAAGGCGACGCCATACCAACTTGTGTAAGACCAGCATTCTGTACCTCGTAAGCATGGCTTTGCTGGCCAAGGAGAGGTAAGATATGCAAATGTGGCTTCCGAGACCGCAGTGTATATGACAGTGAATCGTAGCAGCGCCATTGCTCCGTGGCATTGGTAGGTTCTTAGAGACGGCTGTACTGTGTACTCAGTCCGGAGTACGAGTGTTAGATGCAGTGACCAGGCCGGCAGCTACAATATCGCGACAGCCGATCTTGATGCCCCGGCCCACAAGACAGAAATAGTAATCACTTGTCTTTCAGACGAGGATCGTGCCTTGCCTTCGCCGTTTCCCTCTCATATGCCGACTCGCGGGATTGGGGGACGTCTCGCCGATAGCGTGATTCCGCGCCACATCACAATATAGACGTCTCAGCGACCGTTTCCATCGAGGCTGCTCTATCAGATACCGGAAGGAAGCATGGGCGTATGCACCAAGGCACACTCCTTTCATCTTAGTTCCCTTGGCGGATGAGAAGACAAGGCGGTGCTGACAGCGTTCGCATTGGAGGGGGGCTAGTGCCGTAAGGCGTTGGAGCGAGGCACATACTGGAGCCGGCGCCCGTTCGTCTTGAAAGTTTTGCGCAGGTCTGGCGCAGCTAGTTTCAGGAAGATGGTGGTGGCACAGAGATATGAATGGATGAGGTAGGGTTGTATCAGAGCTCACGAGAAAGCTAGACACTTGGCCCGAGGGGTTTCCAAGAGCACTGGCCAACTGCATATCTGCGCCCAATAGGCTAGAGGGTTAAATTTGATCGTAGATCAAGATGGGGGCTATCGGCCACTGTTCCCTCCCTCCATCGAATAGGCAGAGCCAAATGAGAAAACGAGACCGGCGCCATCCTGAGTTTGACACCGGAGGTTCGGCATCGAGAAGCAGAGGAGCCTGGGGCAGACGGCAGAAAGGCGACCGCCTCGAGCAGTTGAGGGTGAGCATTAACCGCCGAATGGCTCCATTCATACGGTGTTTGCAATGTGGCACAGCTCCGTATTGGATGGGAGATACAAGCCTCGGCCGCCGTATCGTCTGATGCTTGCCGCCAACCGCGTTGGATTTCATCCAGTGCCAGAGCCCGAAAAGGAGAGACTGGACGCCATGAGTCGCCACCGTTGCGAGATGCAGCCGTGCATTAGTTGAGCGGTCGACCTTGGCCAATGAGCAGATGTGTGCCTGACATGCAGGTACGGTACTCCGTGCCAGGAGTGTGGCCACCGGCACCCGGCTTCCCCGAATTTTCTTTTCTTCTTTTCTTCTTCTCTGTTCCATATGCCCTGATGTTGTGCCCCGGCCGTGCCTCTGCCCGAGGGAGGGCCGGACCAATGCACCGGTATATGTGATAGTACATGCTGTCCATATCCCTGTGTGACGCTGGAAGTCTCGGAGAAGGGAGACACAACCATGTAAAACAACATGATATCCATTGTTGCTGGATGATTTGGACCGGGTTCACGTTGTAGACGTGGTTAAAGTTTCTGCGGTTCCTGGTTTTGCTATTAATCCATCGGCGTGCTTGATACTAGCAGGGGCTTTTCATCTCCTGCCTCTGCTGTATAAGGTAGACCGTTGATGTGTCACTTGGGTCTCGATTGGTAGTACTCTGCAGGAGGAATGTCTCTATCATGTGGCTGCTTGGTTCATGGCGGTAGCCTCCAGGTATGTACCTTGATACCGGGCTTATCGCAACCGCCGCTCTTTGTACGCGGCAAAAGCTAGCTTCGACTTCTTTCCCCTGCGCCGGCGAGAGCTTGACCAAGGACCGTTTACCGTGAAGAAGAAGAGCGTACGAAGTAGGTAAGGTTGTCGTTCGGATCGGTAGTCAGGTATGCTGCGTCCTCCGCACTCTGGACCGACAACTGCACGAGTAAAGTTTTGCGCTATCACTACCCACAAGACGGCGGCGACGGCCTACTCCATTCGGGGTGCACCCGTACCGCTAGCAGGAGCGATGGTCAAGACGGCTAGTGACGGACGCGGCCGTAGTGACGATCAGAAATCGGATGATGGGATATCCAAGCAGTTGTTGCACCTGCCGCGTTGAAGGGCTTGCTTCGGCGGCCGGGCGAATTCGAGAAAGAGATTTCTATCGTGGTGGTGTGGCCCTTTCTTTTGGTGTGTTGCCATGATGATACCACCCAAGTCAGCGGTGGCTTTCCCAGTCAGTTTTGTGCTGTCTGTTCCTGGCTCCCTGGCCCGAGGCTGGCCTGTTTTGACGACCAAGCGTTGAGACGCTATTCCATAGCCTTTGCTAGGAGAGAATTAAGGAGCCACTCCGCGCTCCCGTGGTCACACCCTTACTCGTAGCCTGGCGCTTTTGGTGGCAGCCCTGATCCCTGCTGCAGTCGGCCAGCCGAATCGACGGCAAACCAGATGTCGAGGCTGCTGAGCGTACCTGAAGCCCTGCATTGTCAGTGACCACATTCGTACAGAGGGCCACGTACAGGTCCTGCTCACCAATCCCGCCGGGTTTGACGCAGAGACATGTGTTTGCACAGCCTGTTGTGCATATCTGCAGCGGCAAGAGGATGGATGGAACGATTCGCGGCAGAGCAGCTTACTGCAATCACCTATGTACTAGGTAGTAGTACTAGTAGTCTGAGTCTGAGTGAGAGCCAACGTGCCCGCAAACATGACATGGCCGTGTCACGGAGCTCGAGGTAATCCCTTGTTCACGGCACCGGTAGCCGCTAGTATTTGTCAAGCTTCACATCGTGTCTGACTCTCGCTCTGACTGCCAACATCAGAGACAAAAAGCAAAACAGCTGAAGATGTCTGGGGATATCTGCCAGTGGGCGGAGAAACTTTTTCGAAGCTGATGGATTATGGAGTAGAATGTGATTACTGCTGGAGACTGCGGTGGGGAAAGGAGGACAGGTGGATGCTCCGCTACTCTGACGCAACTCTTGCCATTCAAAAGGCCAGCCCAGTCCACGGCTCTTTCCTCAGTTGATACAAGTACAGAACAGGAGAGCAGAGGAGAGAAGCCTTGAATGGACAGGCGGAGGACCGAGGAAGGCTCAACGGATGGAATTGGTCGCAGAAATGAAGGCGCACGCTTAGCACTGCTAAGGCGATACCTGCGCCTGCGGGTGCTCCATGTGGCGTCCCAAGTATCGTGGAGTATCTGCGTGCAATTGCTGTCAAGCGGGTGTACTTGAAGGCTACCGCATCGGATGCGCTATTGGCCCAGTGGCAAAGTACCGGCTCCATCTGGCACCTCTTTCCAAGGCATGACCGAGGACGCTGAGCCCGAATTGCTCCATTCCAGCGCTGGAGGCGGAGGTGAAATGAACTGCCTGGCGATAATGCCGTGGGCGGCAGTTGAAAGAATACACAATACCGATGCTGATAAGGAGAAGATACAATACTGCAGATATTGACCGTCAATCTCTATTATCAGTGCTAGTACCTTGTCCACCATTTCGGCATCAATCAAACAAACTCCATGTGCTCCGGTCCCAAGATTGGCAATAGCACGGAGGTAATGGAGCATCAGCCTCTCTCCGTCCCTCCTTATCCGACCCCACGGTCGCCGAGCTCGTAGCAGTTGTACTAGGTAGTAGTTGTTGTATGTACATATGTAGGTACAAGCAGTGCCTGGCATCCGTCCTTCCAACGGCAACATCCCAGCACTAAGAAGCTAATGCCACTTTGATCACGGGCGGTGGAGCTGCAATTTATCAGGAACCCTTGGAATGTCGCGTCCACGGCGTGGTCCACCAGCTCTCCGCTAGGCTGTTCTTTAGTCTTTAGGGGACAGCAGGGGGGGGATATCTTGGGGGGCGTGCGCCTCTAGCGTTGCCGGAGCGCTGCATGTATCCTGGCGTCGCTGCCCGTTACGACGAGACATGCCTTGCGTCCGCAGCTGGCGCCTTCTGGAAGTTGTGCGGCATCTTGGGCCTCCAGCCAGGTACATGGATCCGGTTGCGCCTCCCACGAGCCCAGGCGTCTGTGCTGGGCCGGTGGCGGCGCTCCGTCACTGCATCACCTTCTGTTGCGCTTCCATGGATTGCAGGCTGCGGTGGGCTGCACTTACAGCAGTGCGTTGTCCAGCGCCAGCGAAGGGTCCCAGGGCTCTGGGGGCTGCTCAGCGCCTGTTCCGCCCGCCTGAGTACCGGATCGTCGTCTGGAAACTCGGGTTTGGCAGCTAAACAGGAAGCTTCGTCCCCACCGTCTCCGGACAAGAACCAGCCCGGCCCTTGATTACCTCTGCTAGCACCTCCGACTAGTATTTCAGCTTTCGCTTCCTCCTCCCCCAGGCTCCATTCCGGTGAATCCCTCATTTCGCCGTTTCTGTTTTTCTCTTTGTTGAGATAATACCGACCTGTACATATTACGGCCTCGTTGCTGTCTCTTGACCCACTGCCGCCTGGTTCTCTCCTCGCTTTGCTGAAGCCTCGTACTCTCGCCCCGGACGGCCAGGCGAGGTAAATAAGATACCCAGAAAAAGAGGAGACAGCAAGATAGGAGACGGTCCCTCATTGTCCATCCTCCCATCGCCTCAAAGAGCGAGCGCAGAACCGCCTGGCCTGGACGCACATGTACTCGGTTGAGAGAGAGGCGGTTTCGTCTTTGCTCGTGTTTCTTCTCAGCATGTGCTGTTGACAGGGTCGACTAGAAATCCCGTCTCCCCCCTTCAGCGCCTTCAGGAGCCGCAGAATCGCAGCCACTCGCCATGGACTATCTTGACGGCCTCCTTCTTGTTCCTCCGGACCGAAACCACATCCTCGCCAAAGCGCAATGGAAGGTAGGTTTTGGTGCTGACGTTGCTGCCAACGCAGCTCCCTACTCTCCCGAGCGAGGCATCATCTAATTCGCCTCCTCCTTTGCAGACTCGATATGTTTTCGTCGGCAGACGGACTGCGCCAAGCACAAACAAGCAGAAAGACCGGCAGAGCGCCATTGGTGCGAGGTCCGCTGATACGAAGCCTCTGACCAAGGTGTATACCGACGAGTATTGCCTCTCTGTCTACAAGGCCAAGGTAAGTCGTGATGCGCTTGGCTCCTGCTCTACCCCTCGCATGGCACAAATGATCTCTAACAGGATATCACCATAATACAGGAAGACATGGAACCCGCTTACCAATGGCCCACGAGCTGCGTCATTGACTGTCAAGTCCAGATGCTTGCCTACCGAAAGCAAGGGCCTATCCAGCCGACGCTCGTCGTCACCATAAGCGACAAGGAGCGAAAGCGTCGCTCCAGTCGATCTGTGGGGTTAATGGCGAGCAAAGACGCTGGGACCAGCACTCTGTGGTTTCGAACGCCGCCCGACGACCACCACAGCAGCCTTCACGACTGGGCTTCGTTTATCCTGTCCAAGAAGAACCCTATTACCGCGGCGGACGGAAGCACCACGCCGGTATTCTCGAGCCCCTTCAGCCCCCGAAGCCGCGAGGCTCCAGAGTACTTCCCCCCAAGACCCGACAGCGGAAACCAGGCGAGCAGCAGCCGGCCAGATGCGCGCGCTCTACAGCACAAAACCTCCAGCGCTACGTACTCGACGGGCCCTCGCGAGCGGCCGGCCACGTTCAGCTCTGACTCGCCGAGCCTGCGATCCAAGCGAAGCGACATCTCCTCGCCGTCCAGCATCAGCCAGCACCCCATGCAGAAGGCATTCGCGGTTCCGGGTCCGATATATACTGGGCCTATGCACGGCGATTCGGGGCTGCCTCCCATCAGAGACTCAATCTACCAGGGAGAGCTGATTGAGGGGTGGACGGCGGCCCAAGGGCGGTCATCTACCTTGAGCTCACCTACACGCGGCCCCGAGCCATTGGGCTCACCGATGGAGGCGCCCTTAGGCTTTGACGTCCACGCGCCGCCCGCCCCTGGCGAGACGATTCTCGACAGGGCCTTCCAGCTGGGCCATATTCCGTGGGCTGGATCAAACGTTCCTGGCCAGGAGACGTTCAGCTCCATCGCTCGCTTCGATGCCCTCATGCACGAAGTAGAAGACAAGCGCAAGCAAAGAGAGGCCACTCGGCGCGAGGAACGGGCGGCTATGCGCAATACGTATAATCCCAAAGCGACGCCGCTTGAGCTTCCTGACGATTTTGATTCTGATGAAAGTGCGCATTCTGCGGATGAGCAAGATCATGGCTACGACAGAAGCCCCATCATCTCCCCCTCTGCCCAACGAGCATTGGCGTTCATTGCAAATAGGCATGGGGATACACCTCGGGAACCTGGATCACGCCGTCCCACGATATCTAGGACTCATCTAAGCTACCATGCGGGTACGGTGCCTCCGCCGCCGCTGCCGCTGCCGACTTCTCAGTCTCCTCCTTCTCGGCCGCATACGGCCCACGCCAAAAGCCGCCTCAATCCCTCGCAGAGAACCCAGAGCACGCCTCACCTGAATCCAGATTCTGCCAGCAGGAGCGGCGAAAGCGGGTTCGCGCAAGACGATGCGGGCAGTCGGCGATCTGGCTCCAGCTCCAAAAGGTTGAGTTTCTCGGACTTCACCAGGCGGCTCTCGAGCACCAGCAGCTTACTGGTAGTTCAGACCAACACCAGCGGAGACAGCCGTCGAGGGAGCGTGGAGACGGATCTCCACCCCCTCAGCGCTCGACGGCCGGATGTGAGCCATCGGGATACTGTGCCTCCGCCCAGGAGTCGGGAATGGCAGAAGCAGGATCGACAGTGCCACTGGCGCAACAGCGTTGGCGTGGTTGGTCCCGAAGGCGGATTCCTCTGAGTCCTATCAAGGTGCAATTGTTTTTCGATTGTCATTTCCACCACCACTTCTATCATCTACTCTTTGTCCGCAACGAAGCATCGTCGAGACAGCTTTGCAACGCAAGCAGGCCGGGCCGAATGCTTGAGCGAGAACTTCTTTACAACTAATACGATATGCATGACGAACATATTATCACCACATACATCTTTTATTGGCATCGCTACGACGCATATGACGGGGCCTTCTTCTTTAGCCTTAGCATGACTCCGGCGTTGGTTTTCAATTTATCTTGGTGGAGTGTAACTTTTTTCATTCTTGACTTTCTCTTCTCCCCTTTTCTCGCCCTTCTTTCATCTCTTGCCATTTTCCTTCTTTGTGTCTGGGCACAAAAAGCAACCAACAATTCTTTGAACAAAAGGGCCGTTCATTTCGTGGATGTTGGGATGAGAAATGTTAGATATTCTATTTCTTTCTTTTCTTTTCTTTTCTTTCTTTCTTTGTAACCCCTTTTTTTCTGCTAAAACAGGTCGCCATCTGGGCGCAGGGGAGAAACATTTTTTCTATTGAAGTGACGATGAAGCGAGCATATCTGGTTTTTGAGTACGCGATTCCCCCCACCCCTCCAATACCTTTTTGAGGTTTTGGATGATAGAAGGGACATTTTTGGATAGCTTCTTGTACAAATATATATTGAACCATTGTCGAGTACTCTCTAGACTTGACCAAAAATCTTTGCGCAAAGGCGTGTGGTCCTTGATCTGGGTGATTTAAGGTATGCTTTCGTTATTTTGATGCGCAAGGGAGTTGTTCCTTGCTAGCCTACATACTTATCTACTAAGGTAAGGCATTCCACACAATATCTACCTTACTTCTGTTGGTGCCTTGCCCCTTGAACTCTTTTTGATGTCCATGATCGATGAGGTAGCACTATCCTTACCAAGGGCCTCATCTCCGGCACCGACCCTGACCCTTATTATACCTACCCCACCTTTACCTTTTCTGCTTCATGATATATCCCATCACGGTTGCCCGGCATGGGGCCTTTGTTGTCCTTCCATAGTGCACACCTGTCTCTCACCCACTCACTCTCTCTCTCTCTCTTCCTCCTTCTCCCAATTTATCTTCTGAAATTATCGAATGTACTGGGCAATGGCCTCCTGAAGCTCGGGCGTAAGGCGCTGAGAAATGAAGCCCTCGATGGCGCCTCCGTGCCTCTGGTTGGCCCCAACCATGTACTCCTTGACCCAGGCCGGCACGTTCTGCACCTCGGGGAAGTCGTCTCGCGCGACGGGCTTGCACGTGTTGAGGGCCGTAAACGTCAGGCCGAATCCTATGTCGTCTGGTGAGTTCTCCGTAATAATCTCATCTCCGACACCAGCAGCGACACTCGGGGGGTTCGCCAGCAAAGTGAGAAGGATCCTGCACGTATTTGCCCAGCCCTTGGCGAACTTCTGGGCAAACACCTGGGAGTCGCAGAGTGTCTTGGTCAAAGACACTACGGCAGCCTTTCGGTCAACTGGTCTTGCCAGCTTGTCCGTCTCTTGCAGGATGAACGGAGGATACACCTGAGCAAAGACCTTCTCGTCTACCTTGTCAGAGTGCTTGACAAAGTAATCCGTTCCGTAGCCAGCCTCCAGCTTTCCGCCAACAAGGTGGAAGAACCGAACAAAGCGGATTTTGAAAGAATCGGCGGGAGATCCTTGCAGCTTGGTGAAGATGAGCGTAAGAATGGTGTCGAAGTAGGGATCGAGAGCCGAGCTACCGAGACAGACGTTAGTATACCAGGTGTGAAAGCTCCATCAAGGGTTCAACTCACGGATCAAAAGAGTTGACAATCGCCTCGAGAACGTCAAAAGCATAAAGCTCGGACTTCTTTCCACTCAACAGCCGCTGGAAAATTCCTAGGACGGCCTCTAGCTGGTTCTCCGCAACAATGGTCTTCGAGACCCTGGGAATAAGCGAGGACAGCAGCCGTGTGCAGGCGGGAATGTTGCCTCTGGTCTCCCACAGAGACGGCTGCAGCAGGGGGCCAAGAAGCGCAGTGTAGTTGTCGGAGACGGTATCTGCTGGGCTAGACTCGAGGAGTTGCGCCAAAATTTGGAAAATGTACGGAATAAACTCTGTCGAGGCAATGCTGCTGTTAGAAGGAAGACGGACAGTATGAGAATCGTTGTTCATAGAGGAGCTTACCGGTAACGTCGTCGACCAAGATCTGATGCGCAGGCTCCCATAGCTTCTGGTTGATGGCAGCCGCATGCGTCGCAGCGCAGTATCGCACCAGGGCGCCCAGAGCCTCGAAGTGATAATAGTAGAACCGAGGGTTGCTTGGGTTGGACTTCATGACATTTGTGATGAGGATGAGGTGCGTCAGGATGGTATCGAGCCAAGGGCTCGCTCCGTCCTTGATGACGATGAGGATTCTCATCACACATCGCATCAAGAATTCGTTCTCCTGCAGCTTGGGCGCGCTGGTATCTCGTTCTATGAGCTTGAAAAGGTGAGTGAGCAGATCCTTTGCAAAGGGTTCTATGTCTGCACGAGAAAACATGGGCGTGCCCGCATCATCCGTCAGGTACAGCACACGTTCTACAGCAATGGCTGCATAGGTATAAACAACGTAGTTGGATGAGTTCAGGTTCTGAATCAAGGGGCCAATGGCCACCTTCCACTGCTCCTTGGACAGCTGGCTGCGGAATGTGTAGAGAAACTTGATAGCGTCAACCTTGGAGATGGGCTCGATTCCTTCACCGTTGACCAGATCAGACGCAATATGGCGTTCGAAGAAATCGACCACATTGACAAGTGGGTTGACGGTCTTGACGCCCTGAGCCTGGGTGACCGCACCCTTAGCGGCGATTGAGAGGAACAGGTAGATGGCGGTATCCTTGGCCTTCCAGTCCGACTTGCCCTGCGTAAGATAGTGGTTGATGTACCGGGAGACAGAAGTGGTGACAGGACCCTCGAATTTCTCCTGCAGACTGCGGAGGAAGTCGGTAGCCGATCTGCGTCGAGAGCCGGAATCGGATCCCTCGAGGTCCCGGCGAATATACTCGATCGGCTCATCCTCAAACATTTCGATGTCGGACTCCCTGAGAGCAACATTGGGCAGAATGACCTTTTCGACGATTTCGGTGAGGACAGACTCGCTGTTGAAGAGCTCCGAGTGCTCCCGAGTGGCCGCGACTGCCGCCAAGAAGTGCAATGACTTGCTCACAAGGTTGTCATACTTGGTCTCGGAGCCAATGGACGACACCAGGCTCCAGGTGCTTGTGATAAAGGGCTTGCAGTATTGGGAGAAGTCGGCATCGTACTTGAAGGTATAGAGCTCGAGGAAATCGCAAATGTCAGCCTTGACAGTATCAACGATGCTGACTTCGGTATCGTCGTCGGTGTCCAGGATGGGATTCGAGTAGTTGAGGTATTTGTGAAGCAACTCGGAGATGCTAGCAAGGTTGTCTTCAAAGATGGGAGGCAGGTCGTGGCAGGACAGGTCGAACATGATCTTCAGCTGCAGGCTAAGAGTCTCGAACCAGCCGTGGAGAAGGGCCTTGTCTTGGCCAAGCTCGGAGATTTTACTATCGGTGGTCTACCGCCATGAGCGCTCTAGGATTAGCATCGAGACTCAAGGGCCAGGGGGACGAAGAAGATGAAGTGGGTGCTGCGCTTACCGCCAACAGCTGGAAGAATGGAGCGCCGAATGTGTTGACGACATGATTGATCTCCGTATACAGGCCAGCGGTTCCCATCAACGGCCTCCAGCGAACAAAGATGGAATGCGCTACCTCCAGTACACCGATGTTGACCTTGGGGTCCGAGGCAGAGAAGCGGCTGACAAGGTCCTAGCAGGCATGCCGTCAGTATCGACCAAATTCGCAGAACCCAGAGGGGCGGCGGTTCGTAGCTACCTGGGTAAGAGTATCCCATCGCTCCCAGAAGTCTGAATCGGCAATGATGCTGACAGCTTCACCCAGCTGGCTCTGAATGTTGGCAGGAGAAGCAATCATCAGCCCAATGAGGCGGTCCTTGATCGTCTGGACCTCGTCCAGTGGGATCTTGTAGTTTCCGTCCGCGTCCTGCGTGCGCCAGCTTTAGCATCTCGGAGGCAGTAGTCGTTCGGAGACGGGTCGTCGCGGGCCATCTCCGCGGCGCGGCGCGCGGCATCGCCACTTACCACATAGTTGAGTCGGATGAAGTTCTTAAAGGCCAAGGCAGCACTTAGCCGGGTGTTGGCGGGGAGGGAGTCGGAGGCGACGATGGTGAGCAGGGCCAGAGAGTACTGAGGCTTGCTGGCCTCCTGCTTGAGGGCAGCCTCGGCTGGCGTTGTTTGGCGCCGGTCAGCATAAAGTGTCTCTCGACAGACGCGTTCTGCGGCCTCTGATTCTGGCGGCGCGTCCGCAGAAGAGGCGGGGCATTGGAGGAGCAGCGACATACCTGTGCGATGCTGGGCAGGATCGAGCGTTGCCTGGAGCAGCTGCGCAATGTGGCCAACATCGGCCGACATGGTGACTTGTTTCGCGTTGGATGCGAGGGGAGGACGGGGGCAATGATTAGAGTACGTAGAAGGGGGACAGGAATGAGGACAGGGGGAGGCAGATTCAACGTGGTGATGATGAGCTGTTTGGTGTTTGTAATGGGGCGGGAATGTTTTGTTTCCTCTGGAGACAAGCCGAACTTTTTCTGGTGGTTGCCTCGCTGCTGGCTAGCGGACCTGGCAAGGCAAGGCAAGGCTCTGGTGGGGGAGAGCTTTTGTCACTCGTCTC